CCTCACCAATAACCATTTATTATATCTTCTAATGTTCCTCAATCACCTAACACAAATAATTAATACTTTACCTTTTTCACCAATCATATTATCATAGAACACCATTTGACCATATTCCCAAAATACTAAATAATTATCCCCGAGTAAGAATGCATCTTTGGTTGTTTCAATAAACTTGCAGCCATTGCAACTCCCAAAAATAAAATAAAATAAAATGTCGTTTTGAGCCAACAACCGCCATGTTAAGAAAATGGTCCCAAAAAGTTTATAATTTATAGGGAAACTATTTTCCAAAAAATTTCAAGATTTGAGCCTTTTTACAAAATAAATTTTTAATTTTATAAATTTAAACACTCGTTGGAAAATGATACTTTAGGCATTTTATATATGAGATATTCTATTTACACACCACACATCATCTCAGTGCACACCAAACACAATTTTGACATTATTATTTTTGCTCAATGCACACCATCCATTTTCAAATATTCCTAAAATATCCTCATCTTCTTCAACTACCCCACCAACCCTAACCATAACCTTCGCCGCTGCCACTCGCCGTCAGTCGTCGCCTCCTCCTTTTTCTATAGCGAATCTCTTCCTCACTTCTCTATTCATCACTTCTCCAACCTTACCACCGCTAGTCTCACTCCCAAATCCTTTTCCACCCCCTTCTTCTCTCCACCAGTGGCTCCACACCTCCCCGCTATCGACGTCGCAACCTCTCATCGCACCACTTCTTCTTCTTATTCTTCTTCTTCTTCTTCTTCTTCTTCTTCTCTCTCTAAAAACTACCAAACCCACCATCACCACTGTGTCACGACCTAAATCCCCTCTATAGCTTTAGCGTCGTAACCAGCAAGTAATCCTAAGATTATCAAAGGCCTTTGAGACAAATTAGCAAAATAAATGGCTAGCAAAAGCAAATATCAAACATACAATGTCCATAAAGTTGTGCAAACTTATATGGGACAGAAAATTTAAACTTATATTCACATATATTTTGACGTCATACTAGTGTCAACACATTGTCACAAGTACAGATAGAACAAAAGGGACTTAGCCCTTTGTACAAAATAAACAAAAGACAATAAGAGCTTAAGACTTGATCACAAAACATTGATTATGGAACTCATCCACAATAGAATTTCAGGAACCTCCATGTGAGGCATAGTAGTTGGCTTGACAGAACAGATCCAGACTTGAAGCCTCAATCCTGGTCACGCGCCTGATTACCTACATACATAATAAAAATAATGAGCCTAGTGAATAACAACAGAGTAAATGTTTTATGAATAATGTCCATAATAGATTCAGAAATCAAAATTCAAATCAGAAATAGTTTTTTATGCATATTAAGATTTGTAAACAGTTATACGTGGTACATTCAATAGCTAACAGATCAAATTGGTCATAAAGACCCACGTGTAGATCAGATAGTTGATTATGCATAATCAATTCCATGAATAGAACCCACATAAAACCTTGGTACCCGGCAACAAATAATAGATAGTAGATGTAGATAATGCTAAGGATGCCACGATTACATTTCAGAAAATTGGACATTAATTTATGATTCACAAAATAAGATTTCAAAAAACAAATCATATCATATCAGTCAGAAAATACTTATAGTCAAACATTGCATTATAGAGTTGTTACTCACAGATAGCTCCAAAAGTAGAACGAACAACGTAGACAAATCGGTCGAATGATGGCGCATGACCTACACAAACACGTGATGGATACACATCAAAACACACTTTCTGTAATCTTTTAACTCATTATGCTTCTTTCTTAGTGTGTTCCTACTTCTTATCCTCATTATTATAGTTTAATCATGGTTTAAGAATGCCTAGGATGCAATGAGAATGCAATTATGCACTTTGAAGCACTTACCAAAATTTTAGAAAACAAGGCAGTTTGCTTGAGCGAAGCTTTGGTTGCTCGAGTGGACCCCTTGGTCTGCAAAACTTCCAAGAGCTCTCATTGTACGCTCGAGCCAACTTCTTGGTTTCTCAAGCAGTTTTTTGGTCACTCAAGCCAACCATCAAACTCTACAAAACTTCTGAGAGCTCCAAATGTATGCTCGAGCGACAATTTGGTCGCTCGAGCGATGCAACCAAATTCTAGAGTTTCCAGAATGCGACTTCAACTCCAAAACTCAAATCCAAAGCATCAAACTAATTTTTTAGTCCAAAACTCAAGAAAAACACTTAGAAACTTGTAGAAAAACATGAAATGAAGTTCAATTCACAAAATCAAAGCCCAAAAGCATGCCAATTCTTCAAAACCAAGTTGAAACTTCAAATTTATATACATGCATGCAATGAATCAAGCTCCTTACTTTCAAAAAATGAACATAGGACATGATTAAGTATGAAATCATGGTGAACTCTCAAGATTTAACAAAAATAAACACTTGCATGTAAGAATTGAGTGAAAATTAAACTCAAAATCTATGAATTATGCATGCATGCATGGATTGATTTTCCATACTACATTCTAAGCTTGATTCATGTATTTAATTCCTAAACCCTCTTGAATTCACATCCAAATTAGCTTAATTTCATAGAGAGAGAGTTCAATTCTTACCTAGAGCTTTTTATTCCTTCGATTCTAGCAATTTCTTGAGCAATTTTTTCCAATCCTCTACAATTCTCTCCTTCTTTCTCTTTAGAATATTGAATTCTCTCTCTCTCTCTCTCTCTCTCTCTCTCTCTCTCTCTCTCTCACGTTTAACTCAAAGGATGATGGAAAAATGTGTGTAAATGTTTCCTAACACTCATATTAGCCTTATATAGGCTTGCTTAGCATTTACCAATCAAGAATGATTAAAACTAATCCACCTAGCTTAATTTAATCGTTTTATTTTAATTATTCTGAATTGAATTCTAATTAAACTTACCATAGCAGTTGAAAAATTCCAAATAACACATTGACTTCATCAATTTCGTGTTCGGATGCTGATAAAGCCTTCAATTTTCATATTGAAACAAAATTTTAGAAAGATATTCCTACAATAGACAAATAGAAACACAATATACACAATTAGCTCATAATTCTTCTTAAACATGTATTAGGCATTCTTAATTACGGATTAGTAGTTAATTACGGATCGGGGTTGTCACAGAATAGCATCCTCCATACAGCACTTTCTGAGTACTCTTGTCCTGAACAAGAAAAGAGTTCTCATCAAAAGTAATAGTACAATGGTTGTCTACAGCCAATTGATGGACTGAAAGTAAATTGGAAGAAATATTGGGAACATGAAGCATTTTAGTAAGATGAAAAGGAAATTAAGGAGTAGGAAGAAGTCCTTTACCCGTATGAACAATAGGTAAGGTAGTACAATGGTTGCCTACATTCAATTGATGGACTGAAAGTATATTGGAAGAAAGATTTGGAACATGAAGCATTTTAGTGAGATAAAAATGAATGAAGGATAATGAAGAAGTCCTTTACCAGTATGAGCAATAGGTAAGGTAGTGCTATCACCAATGGCAACCTAATCATGGCCTTGATAAGGCTAATAAAAGGAGAGATTGCTGAGATCATGTGTCCTGTGATTTGGGGCTTCTGAATCAAGAAACCAATTCAAATCAGGCTGTGGTGAGCTTGTGGTTGGTATAGAAGTAACATATGCCTTGGAATGGCCTTGAGATGGTGATGAAGCTGGTGAATAGGGTGCAAACGTATTTTGATTAGGCTAAAAGCCTAAATCTAGTCTATGCTAACAATCTACGGCAATGTGATTCACTTTACCATAGATTTGACAAGTCACTTGTGCAGAAGTAGTGCTTGTCCTACCTCGAGAAAACTGATTAGGACCTCCTCTCTAATAATGACTGGTATGAGAAAGTTGAGGTCACATATACACTAGTTAAAGAACAAGCTTAATCGAATTGTTAAAAAATGAGCAACAATGGAAGATTATCTGAGTCAGTTCAAGGCAATATCAAATTAGCTAGCCTTAGCTTCATCACCAATAGATGATGAGGATTGTCACGCCCCAACCTCGCCCCTAAAAGTTCGGGCATGACCCATACAGAAACGGACACTTAACCTGATATACATATCATATGGGGCCTGAACGGAAGCATTTAATATAATAAAATAACACAGAAAAGCATCCATTGAGCTAAACCTAACATGCCAGGATCACATTCGTGAGAGTCATTTATTTTTAGACATCATGAAAGTATGCTTACCATGAGGCTAATTGCTTATTTGATTAACTGCCTTAATGTCTATGGGTGAAGGTTGGATTGCTTGAATTGGAACAATTCATTGAAATCCTCGATTTAGCCTACTTGCGAGTAGCAAACTTCAAACTGTTTTCAAACAAACAAATATGCAATGTTTTGTTCCAACTTAGGCGATCTAGTCTATACTTGTATGTTGTGTGCATCACATAGTAATTCTAGGTTAATACACCGGAATAAGAACGTATGTGTTTTCAAAAACAAGATATCATGTTAGTAAAGGCCGATCTTTGATCGGGCGAGTGGGGGTGCTCATTGCATGACCTTCCCCTCTCGTACCCAAGTTCCCAAGCTGAAGTAACTTTGGCGATGAGGGACACGTGGCCTTAGGCACGAGTCAGGGTTTCCTAAATTTCCCGAAAATAAAATATTTAGGTGGCGACTCTGTATCTGGCAAAGCAGTCCATGTTTGGCACTTCTTTCTAAAAATCAGTTTTTCAAAACAATTTGCCGGATTTGGACTCTTTGGTGATTTATCAATCTCACATTGCACTTTGCAAGATCAAATTAAGAATCGTAACATTGAGTCCGAGCTGTAGTGAGCCCAATGAACAAAACGGGATTTTCCCGGGACGTTCGGGCGCGTCTACAAAGATATTAAAGGATAGAGACCATTGGAATATGTCACGACCTAAATCTACCTCTATAGGTTTAGCATCGTAATCGGCCAGTAATCCTAAGATTATCAATGGCCTCAAAGACAGATTAACAAAATAAAGGGCTAGCGAAAACAAATATCAAATATACAATGTCCATAGAGCTGTGTAGACTTATATGGGATAGAAATTTCAAACTTTATATACATATATAAATGCATTATTCTTACGTCACCCATAACAAATAAAACAAAAAGGGACTTAGCCTTATGACAGGTAAACAAAAACTTGTCCAAAAAACGTAAGAAAATAAAAACTTAAGACTTGTTCATAGCTTAGTCACAAACATTGCCCACGAAAACTTGACCACAAAAGATTGTCGAGAACCTCCACATGAGGTAAAATGGTTGGCTTGACAGAAATAGATCTAGACTGGAAGTCTCAAGCCTAGTCACACGCTTGGTCACCTACATACATAATATAAATTATGAGCTAAAACCCAGTGAATAGCAATAGAGTAAAGCTTTTGATAAATGATGTCCATAACAAATTCAGAAATCAGAATTCAGATCATAAACAAATTCTTATAAATAATCAGATCAATAAACAGTTATACGTGGTGCATCCATTCGCTAACAGATCAAATTGGTCATAAAGACCCACGTGTAGATTAGATAGTTGATTATGCATAATTAGTTCCATGAATAGAACCCACATAAAACCCTGGTACCCGGCAACAAATAATAGATAGTAGATGTAGATAATGCTAAGGATGCCACGATTACATTTCAGAAAATTGGACATTAATTTATGATTCACAAAATAAGATTTCAAAAAACAAATCATATCATATCAGTCAGAAAATACTTATAGTCAAACATAGCATTATAGAGTTGTTACTCACAGATAGCTCCAGAAGCAGAATGAACAACGTAGACAAATCGGTCGAATGATGGCGCATGACCTACACAAACACGTGATGGATACACATCAAAACACACTTTCTGTAATCTTTTAACTCATTATGCTTCTTTCTTAGTGTGTTCCTACTTCTTATCCTCATTATTATAGTTTAATCATGGTTTAAGAATGCCTAGGATGCAATGAGAATGCAATTATGCACTTTGAAGCACTTACCAAAATTTTAGAAAACAAGGCAGTTTGCTTGAGTGAAGCTTTGGTTGCTCGAGTGGACCCCTTGGTCTGCAAAACTTCCAAGAGCTCTCATTTTACGCTCGAGCCAACTTCTTGGTTTCTCAAGCAGTTTTTTGGTCACTCAAGCCAACCATCAAACTCTACAAAACTTCTGAGAGCTCCAAATGTATGCTCGAGCGACAATTTGGTCGCTCGAGCGATGCAACCAAATTCTAGAGTTTCCAGAATGCGACTTCAACTCCAAAACTCAAATCCAAAGCATCAAACTAATTTTTTAGTCCAAAACTCAAGAAAAACACTTAGAAACTTGTAGAAAAACATGAAATGAAGTTCAATTCACAAAATCAAAGCCCAAAAGCATGCCAATTCTTCAAAACCAAGTTGAAACTTCAAATTTATATACATGCATGCAATGAATCAAGCTCCTTACTTTCAAAAAATGAACATAGGACATGATTAAGTATGAAATCATGGTGAACTCTCAAGATTTAACAAAAATAAACACTTGCATGTAAGAATTGAGTGAAAATTAAACTCAAAATCTATGAATTATGCATGCATGCATGGATTGATTTTCCATACTACATTCTAAGCTTGATTCATGTATTTAATTCCTAAACCCTCTTGAATTCACATCCAAATTAGCTTAATTTCATAGAGAGAGAGTTCAATTCTTACCTAGAGCTTTTTATTCCTTCGATTCTAGCAATTTCTTGAGCAATTTTTTCCAATCCTCTACAATTCTCTCCTTCTTTCTCTTTAGAATATTGAATTCTCTCTCTCTCTCTCTCTCTCTCTCTCTCTCTCTCTCTCTCTCACGTTTAACTTAAAGGATGATGGAAAAATGTGTGTAAGTGTTTCCTAACACTCATATTAGCCTTATATAGGCTTGCTTAGCATTTACCAATCAAGAGTGATTAAAACTAATCCACCTAGCTTAATTTAATCGTTTTATTTTAATTATTCTGAATTGAATTCTAATTAAACTTACCATAGCAGTTGAAAAATTCCAAATAACACATTGACTTCGTCAATTTCGTGTTCGGATGCTGATAAAGCCTTCAATTTTCATATTGAAACAAAATTTTAGAAAGATATTCCTACAATAGACAAATAGAAACACAATATACACAATTAGCTCATAATTCTTCTTAAACATGTATTAGGCATTCTTAATTACGGATTAGTAGTTAATTACGGATCGGGGTTGTCACAGAATAGCATCCTTCATACAGCACTTTCTGAGTACTCTTGTCCTGAACAAGAAAAGAGTTCTCATCAAAAGTAATAGTACAATGTTTGTCTACAGCCAATTGATGGACTGAAAGTAAATTGGAAGAAATATTGGGAACATGAAGCATTTTAGTAAGATGAAAAGGAAATTAAGGAGTAGGAAGAAGTCCTTTACCCGTATGAACAATAGGTAAGGTAGTACAATGGTTGCCTACATTCAATTGATGGACTGAAAGTATATTGGAAGAAAGATTTGGAACATGAAGCATTTTAGTGAGATAAAAATGAATGAAGGATAATGAAGAAGTCCTTTACCAGTATGAGCAATAGGTAAGGTAGTGCTATCACCAATGGCAACCTAATCATGGCCTTGATAAGGCTAATAAAAGGAGAGATTGCTGAGATCATGTGTCCTGTGATTTGGGGCTTCTGAATCAAGAAACCAATTCAAATCAGGCTGTGGTGAGCTTGTGGTTGGTATAGAAGTAACATATGCCTTGGAATGGCCTTGAGATGGTGATGAAGCTGGGGAATAGGGTGCAAACGTATTTTGATTAGGCTAAAAGCCTAAATCTAGTCTATGCTAACAATCTAGGGCAATGTGATTCACTTTACCATAGATTTGACAAGTCACTTGTGCAGAAGTAGTGCTTGTCCTACCTCGAGAAAACTGATTAGGACCTCCTCTCTAATAATGACTGGTATGAGAAAGTTGAGGTCACATATACACTAGTTAAAGAACAAGCTTAATCGAATTGTTAAAAAATGAGCAACAATGGAAGATTATCTGAGCCAGTTCAAGGCAATATCAAATTAGCTAGCCTTAGCTTCATCACCAATAGATGATGAGGATTAAGCTTGTTCTTTGACTGGTGTTTATGAGACCTCGACAGAGAAGTGAATCTTTTTGCAAGAACACTCCAAACCTAATGGCTTGTTTGATAGTGCAACATAGTTGTAAATACAGATGGAGACAAGGTTATAGTTAAACAGCTCAAAAGGTGTGCATCAATGTTGAGCCACTGAGTATGATTTGGATTAAGAACTTCATGATTACTTGAGTCTAATACCATAGATGGAGGACATACCTCAGATCCATCAACATATCCAATAAGCTTTGTTCTCTTAACATGTTCTGCATATGACTCCTCCATACTATATAATTTGTTGAATCAAGCTTTGTGAAGACAAAAGCATTGAGATTCGATATTAATAGTGTGAGATTCAAAGGCAAAACAGAGGTTAAAGATGAAGAACCTGTTGTAGCTGTGATGGTTGAATTAGGAGAGGCCATTGAAGTTTCTTGCTTCAAAGATTGAAACTCATGAGAGCCTAGGGCTCTAATACCATAAAGATAATTAGAATTGATTGAATTGAATATCACATTACAGAGATGCAGTACTACTTATATACAAAAAACTATGTTAGCTAACATAACCATAACTAATTACTAACTACTAGACTTAACTATAGTTAAGTTCTAGCAAACTAACTGATTACTTGTGTTTTATAACACATGCATGCAGTTGCAATTGTGGTTGAGCCCTTGATTGTCTTGACTGTGATTACAGCAGCTCAAGCTTAGGCTTTGATGATAAAGACACAGGTGACTGTGATTGCAACAGCTTAAGCTTAGGCTTAGATGATGAAGGCTCAGGTTCAGCTTGCTTATCATAGAGTACACCAGCATTGTTAATTTAATTGCCCTTTATTCTATCTCCATGTGTACTAAGGTCTAGCCTACACACACAAACTTGCAGGCACACTGTATATTAAGAACATAAGATTATGACTGAATATTAGATTTGTTATAGAACTTGACATGGCCTGAGATGCAGGATTAGAGATTTGAAATCGATAACTTAATGAGTTACTACAAGCAATATAGGATTATGAACGTGATTCATGCTTATATTAGTTAGTGCTGTTAGTCTATATAAGCTTACAATTTTGACTAATCATGTATGCTTTGGTTTAGAGAAGAGTAAGAGAAGTATCCTGTCACAATCTTATTAACCAGTCTTCAAAGAAAGAACATTTCCACAATTTTATATTTATACCAAAATTGATATAAACACTCAAAATATAAAAAGATACTAGTCAGTAAAGTTTAGTGTTATAAAAATTACCTAATAGACTAAACATAGATTTTCCAATCAGAACTCAGAAGCTCTCTCTTTAAATCCATTTATTTTCTAGCATTGTGTTTGGCCTTTGTGTGAGATTCCAAAGCATTTTCCAAGTTAAATGACCTGCAAGAAATTTTGGGAGAGGGAAAATTGAGATAATATTTTTGGTAACATTCATACTATATCAGTGTCCAATAAATATCAACAATTAACAAAGAACATTTAAAATACACATTAACAAAGATAACAGATTGTTATCCCAACAATATGTAGAGACAACATGGGTGTATATATATTCCCAAACAAAAATAAGAAATTAAAGGAAGTGTTAGAAATCATGAACTCCTTTAGTAATCTAATAATCTGAAACCTAAAACTTGCAGGACCAAACTTTCCCTAACAGTATTTGCAATATGCCTTGGATTCGAGATTGGAAATAAGCAAGAGAGACTACATACCATACCAATCTCAGCAATTTCTCTAACAAAATCAAATCCATACCATACACACTTGACTCGACATAGGGAGCAAAACTCATGGTCATTCTATAGTATATGTTTATAATCAATTAATTTCAATTGCCCAAGAGCTAGAAAAATAAAAATAAAAATATTACATATGAAAAGATTTGTGCATTGCCACAAGCACCAACTTCTTCCATCTACTTGATTGATTCTATCTAAGAACATGTATATAGTCCCTTACCTTAGTTCTTACTTCTTCTATGAATTTTTAGAATGTAAATAAGGGGAAAATTATTATTGTGCTTCACATATTAACCTTAATATGAAACTAATTTTATTAAGCTGTAAAAAATTCAAAAAATAAATAAATAAACAAAACACTAACTGTACTACAAAAAATTTCAATCAAAATTCCAATGCACCTTCATCAGAAAAATACTAAAATAAAATAAGTCTATACAAATTTTTTCTTTGAATAGCGTGTCATAAATTCTTTTTAAAAACTATATGTAATTGTGAGTAACAAAGCCATATATATATATATATAGAGAGAGAGAGAGAGAGAGAGAGAGAGAGAGAAAGAGTGGGAGAGAGAGATGGGAGAATAAAAAGTAAATGAATCAAACCCTAACTTTTGCTTTCTCACAGTATCTCTCCTAAATTCTATGAAATTTGTGAAATTGGCTATGAATCGCAAAACAAAAAATAATTGAATTCAGATGTGTGTATATAAATATGCATGCATATGTGTGAAGAATTGAAAATAGATAGAAACATTTCAGATGAGAAAAGAAAGAATTGCAAATAATTGAAAACCTAGCTTTCCTAAGTCAGATAAAGAGAGACACAGAGGTGATAGAGGAGGTCAAGGATTGAAAAATTACTTGTATTCTCACAAGACACCGATGAAATCACCTAATTTGCAATGAAATCACCTAAAAATTCAACAAACTGACAGGTACATTACAAGCTTCTGAATTCAAAAACAATTTGAGAGAGAGAGAAGAGAGATTAAGAAATCGAGAGAGGGAGAAAGAGCGAGAGAGAGAGAGAGTGCCATACCTGTGACGACCATGGGTGAGTGCGGGAGAGAGCTAAGGCACATTGAGAGCTTCCATCATAGGGAGAGAGAGAGAGAAAGAGCATTATGAAATTGAAATTGGGGAAAATTAATTAAAGAAAGCCGTTTAGCCACTTATTATTGGCATCACTTACTGCGGTTGCTAATATATATATATTGGTGACTGCTTACTTGACAGTCGCAAACGAAGTAGACGCAAAAAGTCCCTTTTTCTAATAATGGTTCATTATAATAATGTCATAATTTTACCATAGAAAATCAATAACATTATTTATTACTGCTCAAATGAATATACAATCATATTTATAGAATAATAAAGATCGAGAGGAGATTGGATTGTTTAAATATATCTTAATTCTTAAGGTTATCTTAGTTTAGTAGTTTCTAGAGATAAAATATAATATTTTAAATCTTATCTCTAACAAGTATTGAGTTTAAAAATTCCCATAACCCGAAAATAAATAATAATAATAATAATAATATTACGAGGCTCATGCCATGATGCTGCAAGGACGAAACAAGGACTTTGTGCCAACAATATCAATTTGATTATTTTTGCAACAATCACAATAATTTTCTTTGAGATTCCTTTGATTAAAAAGGAAGTAATGAACCCCCCCTCTAAAAAAAAAAAAAAAGTGAAGGGAAAGAAATGGGAAAAACATTATTTTCTTTCATGTATTTGTTTAGAGAAATTGTGTATTAAAATGAATGAAAATTTTAAATTTGTAAATTGTAAAGTCAGAAAGTTTCCAAAAAAAAAAAATTCTCAAAAACAATACATAATTTACTCTCCAACCATTTTAATTAGGACTCTCTTACTAATCAAGTGGACTCTTAGAACAATTTTTTGGAACCAAGTAGGTGGTGCCATAATTGTCAAATTTGATGGATTTTTATGGTTATATTGGTATTTTATTTAACAATAGGGATAAGAATTAGTGATTAGTGTATTAGGGGATAGGCTCTCTCCGTACCTCATCTCTCCATACGTCTCTTATAGGGCTCAATTCTGAACCCGTACTGTAACTTGTTTTTCGTGCTCCTTTCGGATACAACTAGCCCTACAGTTCGGACTCCGGTGGTTCTGAATCTGATTCCACAAATACAATGTAAAATAGATAAACACAAATAAGTCCAAATCCGACAATTCTTTCGGAAATTTGATTTTGAATCAAAATGTCAAAAATGGACTGCTCTTCCAGATTACAAAGTCGCCACCTAAATATTTTTGAGAAATTTAAGAAACCTGAAACTCATGCCAAAGGCCACTTATTCGTCATCACCAAAGTGTCTTGACTCGGGAACTTAGGTACGAGAAGGGAAGGTCATGAATTGAGCACCCCACTCGTTCGATCAAGAATCGGCCTCTACTAATCATAATGCGATTCTTATTTACATTATATACTCTTATTCTGATTTATTAGGCTAATTTACTATGTGACGCACACAAGTATAGACTAATTTGCAAAAATTGGAACACTTTGATTTCATGTATGTTTTGAAAAGTGTTTTGAATATGCTCCACTTGAAAAAGCGATCTCATATATACATTCATCAAATTACCCCATTTTAAGCAATTAGCCTTCATCCACATACATTCAAGAGATAGATCAAGTAAGCACTTAGTCTCATGGTAATCATGATTGATATGACAACACTAACACTCATGCAATATGCTAAAGTAATAAGTGTTCACCTAGTACTCTAAGGCAAGCCAAAAAAACAAAAGAGTTTAGAAAAAATGCATGATCTTAACGATACAAGATGGCTAATGCAACACATACAAGAGTGCAGCTAATAGGTCCGGTTGCCTAATATGTCATGTAAATCACTTTGACAACATGTAGTGGTGCACGTATTCAAGAAAGTAATAAATGACAATGACGTTAGAATGATGAACCGAGCCTTATGAGTACAAGACAAATGAATGCAAATCATGCAAAATGCTAAAAGAAACATGATGTTCTATACTATCCATCATAAGCAAGTAAATAAAAAGAAGAAAGGCGTGGGGTTGGAAGATATGCACATTATTACAAGTTGCCCTCACGTAGGAGGGTTCAAATAAATGTCTAGGTAATTACCAAATTAACTAACTATTACATAAGAAATGAATTAACTACACTAGCTAATTTATGACAAATTCGAATGAATCTAATTAATTAATTACAACACGAAATTAATTACAAGTTCAAAGGAATTAACTAATAAGAGCTATGTAAGCTTAATTAAAATTGAGCAAAGGTCAAGGAACCATGCATGCCAATCCGAACATCCGCCCGAAAATGCCTCTGTTTTGCTGCTAGAACCGTTCTGTTTGTAGAAAATCCTTCCATTTTTGCCTTAACTTCTACTCTATTTTGCAGGAAAACGACACTACCATGCTGAAAAGAGGTGGTTGGCCGACTAGTATAAGTGGTCAGCCGGATTCAAATGGTGGCCGGTCAGCCACTAATTTTGGTACTGCCCTGTTGCAACAGAAAATGAACAGAGCAGAAACAGAGTGTTTCCAAGGGATGTTTATCCTCCCTACCTCTTCTTATCATAAAATTGATCAAAGAAGGAATCAAATCGATTCATGAAGCATCAATGGTCGCAAGGTTATTGCATGATGGTCCACGACTCGATTGGACAAAAGTTCAATTAGGGAAAATAAAAGACCAACAAAATCTCCTCTCTATCATGGAATTGATCAAGGGAAGTTGTTGACATTGATTCACAAACCATTGTCATCACTAACAAGTATGAAATGGCCTAAGACTCAATGGGTTTAATTAACGTTCGATTGAACCCAAACCAATTTTATTCTTGCATCTCTTTTAGTCCAATTTTATTACCTTTTTTAATTACCTTTCTAATCCTTAGTCATTTTAGTCCAATAATGAAAATTAAGTCCGCTAATGGAGAGAAGTGTCAAACAAAGGGTTGTCTTAGGCATAAAAGAGAGGTAATGCCCTGGTAATGAACCTCCGAAGAGATTAAACCATTTAGCATTGTATGGTCCCTTCTCAAGCTCAAACAACACTCAATTGAAACAATTCTCAAAGAAATAAAAAGCCATGAAAAGAAGGAGAGTGCAGAGATGATTTTGAACACTAGTATGAAAAGCATGAAATAAATGCTATCAACTCAAATGGTTGGTGGCTAAGGCTTAAACCACCAAACCTATGAGGACTACTACACTACAACCATGCTATTCAAAGCATAAATGAAATAAACAACCTGAAATAGTCCTAAAATAGCTCAAAATAGTGCTGGAAATAACATGGAAAAGCTTGAAAAAGTAAGCTAAAATAATGGAGAAACGAAGATAGTAAATAAGCTTAAGGAGGGGTGGCTAACCCCTCCACTTTTGGAACCTCTGTTTGCACTATTTTTAGTCTCTAAATACCTCTGAAAAATAGTGGTAAAAATGTAGAAAAAAAGTTGAGAAAGAAATGGGAAACACAAGGGCAATGTTATATCTCTTGAAGAGAAGTAACTCCTTCGTTCACAAATCAAAAAGCTTACACTCTCAAACACTAAGATTTGAGCTCAAGAACCTCAGCAAGAAGAGCTAATTTTTTGGTTTAGGAAGTGTAGAGAGAGAGTGTGTAGGTTGCAAGATAGAGAAAGAGAGAGTGCCATGCAAATATTGAAGCTTTAGGAATTTTTTCTAACCTAAAACCAAGAGGGAAATCCCCCTATATATAGAAAAACATGTTACTCAGTCAGAAATATCTGTATATAGACAGTTGGTGTAGTGCATGCACCTGTAGGAAAAGCTGGTAACAAATATCTGCAAAGATCTGTTCTACCGGAACAACTGGCCGGCAGGCCACCTTTAGCGGATAGCCGGCCACCAAAATTGACCTGTGGGGACACTTGGCTGGCCAACCCACTCAAAATGGCCAAATTGTTCAAGCATGACTTCAAATGGGTGTATCTCCCTCATCCGGACTCGGTTTTAGGTAATTCTTAAGTTTAAATTGAAGCCCCAAAAGTCTACTTTCCAATGGTGGTGGCCTCACATCTAAATTCTAAGTGTGCACAGAGATATGCTTAATTTAGTGAAGGATGTTCATTTCTTTCTTAACGGATTGATGCCCTACCTTTCCCTAAACTAATTTTCTTCCCTACCCTCCCATTTCCTTCAGCTTCAAACTTATAAATAAGATATTTTTAAAGATTTTTTAAAGAGTTCACCTCCATTTCATTTATTTCCACTTTGTCCTTACTCGGTTTATCAAAAAGTGTACTTTTTTAAAAGAAATGCGAGCTCCGGAACATCGTAGAAACATTTTAAAAAGTATTTTAAAAAAAGAGGATTATAAGGTCAAAAATAATTTTGGACAAAAATGGGGTATAAGGTTTGGGATTAGAGCTTCTTGCTGAAAAAAATTGAGCGATTGTATAGCATAACTTCATCATCAAGTGATCAACCTGAGGCCCCAAGTCTTAAAGGCGGTAAAAAATGGGGTGTCTACAATTGCCTCTCTTTGACAGAGTTTGAAGTCATGAAATGACATGTGTGAATGTCAAAGCCTGAAGATGACCCATTTTGACAAGGCTGTAAGACTTGGGCAAACAAACAAAATGCGGATACAATTGGTTGAACTAGAGGGTTGCCTACGTATCTCGTTGCAAGGAATCAAACCAGCGTAGTTTAGGGGCAGGATGCAAATGATACACAATGTAATGAAATAATATAACCACAAGCAATGCAAAACACACAAATACCATAAAGAAATGAAGATGCAAATCAAACTACGTTTTATACAGAAAAGAAGTGGGCACAACCAAACAACGCCGAACACAGGCTAAGTGCCTACATCCTCAATACTGGCCTCAACGCAGTGCGGATGCTTACACATAACAAAACCATGTTTCAACATGAAAGGGGTGCGAGCACGTGTAGAACTATGTCTTTCGCAAAAAGAGTACAAGTAATTGGCAAAGATAATGATCCTAAATGCTGAATACAACAAGACAAAGTACAATGCAATGGATGTAGTGAATAAAAGGAGCGCGAGCTGAACCACATCTTACCTAGAAAAGGCATGGATACAAAACAAATCACGTCTAACACAGAAAAGGTGTTGATACCCTCAATACTAGCCTCAGCACAGCATGGGTACTTACACATGACAGAACCATGTTTCAACGAGGGAAAGC